CCCTAAACCCCTAAACCATGACCCTAAACCATGCCTCTTTTTTGTCGAGGACTTTGAGGAATCCTGTGAGGTGGCTGTGCTCCCATGCGGGCACGTCTTCCACCAGGAGCCGTGCCGAGGGTTTCGCGTTTTGTTTGAGGTTTCAGGGTGCATGGCTTAGGGTTGTACGGTTTTGGGTTTAGGGTTTCGCGTTTTTTGGGTTTTAGAATACAGGGTTAGGGGTTTTAGGGTTGAAGGTTTCGGGTTTTAGGGTTCGCGTGTTTTGGGTTTTAGAGTACAGGGTTCGGGGTTTTAGGATACAGGGTTTAGGGCTGTAAGGTTTTAGGGTACAGGTTTTAGGGTTTTAGGATTGAGGGTTTTTAGGGTTGAGGGGTTTTAGGGTTGAGGGTTAAGGGTTTTAGGGTTAAGTGTTTAGGGTTTTAGGATACATGGTCAGGGTACAGGGTCAGGGTGTTAGGGTACAGAGTTTGGGGTTTTAGGGTTGTGGGTTTGCGGTTTTAGGGTACAGGGTTTAGGGTTTTCTGATACATGGTTAGGGTACAGGGTTAGGGTGTCAGGGTACAGGGTTTAGGGTTTTAGGGTTGAGGGTTTGCGGTTTTAGGGTACAGGGTTTAGGGTTTTAGGGGTGAGGGTTTGGGGTTTTAGGGCTAAGGACTTTAGGTTTGAGGGTTGAGGGCTTTTAGGTTTTAGGGTACAGGGTTAAGGGTTTCGCGTTTAGGGTTTTAGGGTACAGGGTTATGGGTTTTAGGGTTGAGGGTTTAGGGCTTTTAGGGTTCAGGGCTCTTCGGGTTGAGGGTTTAGGGCTTTTGGGCTACAGGGTTAGGGTTTTTAGGGTACAGGGTTACAGGGTTTAGGGTTTTTAGGGTACAGGATGTCGGGGTTTAACAGGGCGTCCGCGGGGCTATAGACGGACATGGAAGTGTTTAGACATGGAGGTGTTTTTAGGGGTTTACCTGAGCGTAGGGGCTAGCTTTACGTGTGACTCTGGTTACCTACTCGTTGGAAGCTGCAAATAAGGGTTTATAGCCTAGTATGTGTGTAAAGCCCCCTAGTTGCAGAGATTTGTGGGTATCGATTAATGGCCAAGAATAGCAGTCAAAGCAGTCAATGAAGTCCAAAGCCCAAAAGAAGCCCTATACAAACCCTGCAAGCATCGATAACTAAAGTCGTGACAAACCCAAAACCAAAACCTGGGGTGGCAGCCGATATTCTTCGAATTTGGCACAGTGAAAGAGCTCCTCGTCTGCGAAATTGTTCATTCCCGTATGGCCCCCTGTATGTGTGAAGTGCCACATACGCAAGAACCGCGCAATCAACACCCCAACACCCCCCCGCCCCATATCACAGGGAAGCTCGGCCCCATGCTCCGTTGAAGGGTTTAGGGATTCAGCTTTCAATGGCGAGTGTTGGAACAGCATCACCATGCATTTACGGCAACACGATATAAACAACGAGCAGATTGGAGTGAGCTTGATAACCCTAAACCCCTAAACCCAAAACCCAAAACCCTAAACCCTAAACCCTAAACCCTAACCCCTAAACCCTAAACCCTAAACCCTAAACCCCTAAACCCGAGAGCGAGTGGTTGGTGGATGGGGGGTGGAGTTGCGACCGAAGCCTCCGTGAGCCCCAAGGCCTAAAAACCAAGAACCCTAATTTTAAACTTTAAACCCTACCTATAGTCTCCATTGTAGTTCCTTTTTGGGGATACCAATTATATATTAAGGGTTTTATAAGGTATCCCCAAAAAGGAACTACAATGGAGACTATAGGTAAACCGTATCACCCTAGAATCCCTAAAGGCCAACCCTAAACGCTAAGTTACACACCGTAGCACCCTGGGCGTTTTATGACTTCGTCCACCCTGAGTCCTTCGAAAAAACGTCGCTGTCTTGAGCTCTTGCAGTCTGTGGGTCGGCCTTCATATATCTTAACATAGATTTGTTTAAGCCTATTATCGGTTTAGGGTTTAGGGTCAGCCTATTCGAAAACCAATGTTTATTCGCTGGGGTTCCGCATTATATCTGTGCATAGCTGTACCATACAGGGGCCTAATTCCTCGTTCAAGTTATCAAGGGCCCCTACCTCAAGCCCGGCAGGAATGTATCACCCTGCCCTAAACCCTAAACCCTAAACCTAAACCCTTGCATTGCCCCTACATCAAGCCCGGCAGGGCTGTATCGCCGCCTTAAACCCTAAACCCTAAACCCTAAACCCCTACATTGCCCCTACATCAAGCCCGGCAGGAATGTATCGCCGCCTGGGCCATCTCCTCCTCAAGAAATCGGGGCTCGTGCCCCACCTGCCGGGAGAACTTCGCAGCTGGCGGCACTGAATAACAGCTAGGGTTTAGGGTTTAGGGTTTAGGGCTTGGGGTTTAGGGTTTAGGGTTTAGGGCTTAGGGTTTAGGGTTTAGGATTTAGGGAACAGCTGGCTGCTGAAATGAATTACGGGATGGGGGGGTTTAGGGTTTCGGGACGGGGCTTGAGGTTTAGGCCCTCCAATCCGTGGATGCTGCACTTTGCTACACCCCTAAGGCCGAACCCCTAAACATCCACATGAAGCCAGGGCTTTAGCTTTGTAAAGCGGGTGTTGATGGTATACGGAGTTAGACAGGTGCAGGTTTAGGGTGCATGGTTTAGGGTTCGGGGTTCTGCAATGGCCGTGTGGACTGCTTGTATCCACCGTTGCTAGCCCATCATCGGGCGATCGTAGTTGCTTCCCAACGGCTTCCAATCGTCGTTGGGCTGCCTAGGCTTTTCTGTGTTCGTTTCCGTCCGCGGAGCCGTGCTTCCAAGTTATAAACAGGTTTGCGCTTCACATCCTGCATGACCGAAGTTACGACAACAAAGGTAGGTTCTGACTGAACGAGCTAATTTGCTCTCGAGCTGGCATACTACCCGCGAAACATCTCCAGATGTCCACCTCGAGTCCGCTCATCATGTGCATCTGCCCTAGTATAGAATCCATGATAATAATGGTATCCCCAGAGGATCACCATGTACATGTACACATTTACTGCAGCAGTTGTGTTAAGAGCTTCGAGTGGGCTTGGCCCTAGACCCTAAATCCTAAAGGTCTACAAGGCCCTTACATCGGCTGTTACATGTATTGGTTCATGATATATGTTGTTTCATATATGGCATATGATGGAAGATTAGTGGTTTATGACATCTGATTTTGATGTTTGATGTGTGGATGGATGCATACATGTGTATATGTATTTATATATACATATGTATGTACATAGATTTGCTTATGGTTTTTGTATCATATGCTCGTGTATGTATTTATATCATTGTATGTACGTATGTATATACACAAGCATGATTTTTGAAGCCCTCCAAGACCCCGGTCGAATTGTTCAAGCCTTTGCATTACCCTTGTACATGGCGGTCCTAATTCTTAGAATAGGGGGGCTTGGGATATAGGTTTTGGGGTTTATGGTGTTTGCTATCTCTACTCTTCTGACAAAACCTGCATTTCCGTCCCGGGAGCCTGAAACCCTAAGCACTGAACCGCAAGCCCTAAACCGGAACCCTAATTCCTAAGAGCCCTACCTCCCCTTCAAAAGACAAATCCCTTCCCGATTTGAAATATAGGGCCTAAATACGAACCGCAACTAGTGTGGGGGTGCCCCATTGCGTTTAGTAAATATATAGGATTACATACCGCGACACCCTATCCTAACTATCGTGCTATGGGTCTTATAGTTGAGGCTCTTCTAGCGAGTTGCCAGGGCTTTGCATGTTTGACAAGGATGTTGTAGTCCTTGTTGCAAGGATTGTCAGCTCCTGCACGTTCTTGTCGTAAGGCGAAGCCGCTTCACAGAAAGTATGCTCCATGTGTTTACGCTTGGGGCCTTGATTCAGGGTAGCATGTGCCGAACTTGAGATCAATAAGCCCCAAAACCCAAAACCCTAGGCACATGAACCCTTAAGCCCGAAACCCTAAACTGGCCCAAGCAACCTGTCCAAGTCTTTGCGGGCTGCCTGGTTTGGTCATGCAGGCTGGCAGGATCAGAGAGGCCTTGGCATGCTGAAAGCATGGTTGTCCAAAGGCCCCTCCTTGGCTCATCCCGGAAGCAGACGTAGGTCTTTGGGGTTTAGGGTTTAGGGTTTAGGGTTTAGGGTTTAGGGTTAGGGCGACTCTGCTAGGACGTAGGTCTTTGGATTTTGGCATACTAGGAGATGTCTCTACCACCACCCCTTTAATTCTGGAGTCCGTCCTGTTAATAAAGCCCCTTATGGTCCTAAATAGTGGGTATTTAGGGTATCATGGAGGGTAGTTGGGGAGTGCTGGTAAACCCCAAGCCATCCTAAACTCTCAACCCTAAAAAACCTCAAATCAGCGTGCATTCGCATTCAGCTGGGGAGCTTCGACCCTCAGGGTTTAGGGGTTTAGG